CTTTTTCTTTCTTTTTTTCTTTCTTACACCTTTTACTCTATTTTTCTTTTTTCTTTTAGCTTGTATTATCTTTTATTATTGTAGTTAAAACTTTTAATAAAAGATTATATTAAAAAAGAGGAATGTGGCAGAGTGGAAAGCTCACAAACAGTACATAAATATAATTTTGGGCATTCAAATCAATAGAACTGCAATGGAGATTAATATGAAGATAAGGCCATTTGAAAACACTATTTTTTAAATTGTTTTTTATGTTAAGTATTAATATTTGACTTTCTCTAAGGACCAAATGTACTGAATCTCTCTCTCTCTTTCAAAAAACAGACAAACAAAAACCTTTCAATGGTGGCATTTTGTTTACTTACAGTACAGCCATCTTCCAGAACAGTGTATGTGAATTTGTTGTTTCCTTCTGCCTTGATTTCACCCTCAGTAGAACTCATGAACTTGAGTGATTTCTTCACATTCCCAGTAGCCTCATCCATATAAGCAATGCTGTTTTTGCAGTGATAGGTGATGTTCTGAGAGGCTCGGCTAGAGAGGATTCTGAGGAACGCCAGCTGAACATCTGTAACTTCTTCAGGAAGATCTGGATCTCCATAGCTGAACTGTGGTGAAAACACAAAAGGGTTGGTGGCTGTTCGACGCAGGTCTGTTCATTCAGCTCTGCTTCTTGCTCAGAGCTTAAGGAGAAGTATAAACACTTTGATCAAGGCTGCACATTCAAATAATGTAGTGTTTACCTGGAAGCCTCCGTTCATAGACTCTCCAAACCAAACATACTTCTGTTCAGGACCTGAGCTAGTCCACCAATTCTTCTTTGGAACACTTGTGGGATTGGCACTAAGGCACGTTTCCCCAGTTTCCATCTTGCAGAATACTTTGATCGCATCCAGTTTGCAGCCTTGGTTAGGATCAATCCAATACTCTCCTACAAAGAGCGATAGAGCAAAACAAAGAAACAAACAAAAACTATTATTTAGCTCAGTTTGGTGGGGATAGGATGCCAAGCATACTTATTCCCAGAATGGTTGGCATTCTGGGAATAAGGCAAACCTCTCTAATAATGTATACTGTACTCTGCTTACTTATTATTTTAAAACCCTCTGTATGAACATGTTTCTTTAGCATTTTAAAGTACAAATCAAGTAAACAGTAACTCCCAAAGGCATTTTCTTTCCTTTCCTTTTACATTTTCAGGAATATTCAACATTTTCTGTCTCTAGGTGTAAGAATTTTACCACATTCTTGTGAATGGTTAAATAAGTAACACGTGATTTTATATAGCAAATCATATATTGTATAGCAAATCATATATTGTATTACTAGAAAAAGGAGCCTATCCCTTGAGGATCCCATATTGTTCTCTAACGTAGATAAGAAAGGAATGGAACATACCACTTGCAAGTTCAGGATGGCAGAACTTCAGATCTCTGCAGTTACGGGCAGGATTCTTCCGTGAACCATCGGGGCTAATGATGTTTTCGATCTGGCTATTAACTGATTTCAATGAAGCTAAAACTTCACCCATGTCAATTCTGTCCTCAGATGGCTGATCTCTGTAATAGTTGGGTCCTTTTTCAACAGTTCCGTAGGGACCAGTGCCATCACCACCACCACCGCAACATGGACCAGGTGCTCCAGGTTGACCAGGAGGCCCAGGAGGACCACTATGACCAGGTGCACCCTTTCAAATAAAACAGGTAAAATTGTCCCATCAAATTTCCATTCATGGAAATGCATTAAGGAAAATGATATTCAAATGTTACTCATACTTTTTTTTTTTCCTGCAAAACCCAATATATACTAGACTCACACTGACTGGGGGTTACTGGTTTTTTTTCCCCCTCATATTCATTGTCAGCTGATATGTATGTATTAATCAGAGCTTCAGATTGTTCCTTCTTTTAGTAAGGATGTATACTGTATATACAGGTATGTAACTTGTTCAGTGTTGTCCAGTGGAAACGAGTGGCATTTAGGATAACAATAGCCATTCTATTCCCAAGCAAGGTGAGTCAATCAACAACACATTGCTACTCAAACTGGAGGACAAAGTGAACTATGAGTCTGAATCAAGTACAATGGAGCCTAATGGAGAGAGATGTCTTCCCTTAAGTCCTAATTGGACCTATGTGCACCTGTGGCCATTGGAATTTACTCAAGGAAGGGAAATGTCTGGGTGTTCTAATGCTTATTTGTTGGTACCTTGGGTTTGCCTGCATTTTACAATAATTAGGACAAAATTTTTGTTGGCAAAACTTGGCATTTTTCAGTATATAGGCAGGTTATAAGCGTGCATGTCATATATGCCAGATGGACTGTGGCAATTGTCGCTGTTTGCTTTTACTGGAGCACTGTTATGCAGAGCCTTTGAAGCATAGTCTTGATCTTCTGGGGAGGGGGCAGCATTTGACTAATTGGATCCTCCTGTCCTGTGTTGAGCTTCTTGATGTTCCTGCTGTGTCAATGTATGGACATGCTCACTCTTGAAATCCAAGAGTGAAAACTTCAGCGTGGAATCTTTGTTTATCTTACCGCTGCTCCACTTTCACCTCTGTTCCCACGAGGACCTGGAGGGCCAATGGGGCCTGGGTAACCAGCTCTACCATCTTTCCCAGGTGAGCCACTTGGTCCAGGAGGCCCCTAAACCATAACAGAAATCAGATATCTGTGTCAACATGCATTGTAAAGCATTACTCTGAAATGGCATAATTTCTCTTTAAATATCTAGACATAATTTGAGCATGCATTAAGATGATATGGAGGAGACTTACTCTAGCACCGGCAGGTCCTGGGTTTCCACTTGGACCTGAGGGACCCAGGGGACCCTATTAAGGTAAGAATGAAATAGAGATTGTTGTATTCATTATAAAGTTTGATAATCACCATTAATCTAGACTGCGTGTTTTAAAAAGAGAATGTAAATGGATCCTTCAGCTGAAAAGAAAAGAAAAAAGTATATGATCTAGGACAAACAATAGGATAAGCTTCATAGAAACATTACTGCTGGACACAAATTCTGGACTGGAAACTTAGCTAAGAAACCAGGCTATAAGTCAGAACATCCCCATTACAAATTTTGCCCTTGTCATAAACTCAAATTAATTTAGGGAAACCATTACAGTATTTTTCAGTTCCCTTATTTACCATATAGGATGTAATATTAATAGAAAGCGGTAACTGAAGGATGATGTCAGTTAAAAGTGCATAGGAAGCACTTTTAATAAATATAAGTAGCTGTATTTATATTAAATGCTATTATTATCAACAACAACAGTCAGCAACCTCTTATGTTTTCTATAGTACAAGTTAGTGGGTGTTATGACAGCTCATTTAAAAATCTTTCCAATATTCTGACTGAACAAATATTAAAGTGGTTGAACTGAACCCCAAAACTATTTCTTAAGTCACTGAGCATTTGTGGGTCCGAAAACTGCACTTGCAGTATTTTTTTTTCTTTTACATATGACTTCCAAGGATTTAAGGATAATCATAAAAAGCTTTCATCTTTACACTTACAGAAGAGAAACAAGGATCTCCTGAACATGGTTCATAAGGGTTAAACTGATAATCTCTTCTGCAATAGTAGCACTAGATGCAGTCTTTCTGCAACTGTGAGGAACTCCACCATGCCTGGCTTTCTCTAGCTCCAGGTTCTGAGGGAAAATTGGGCAAACTGGATCCCTACCAGAATAGGTCCACCCCCTTCTTGTTTCTATCTCCACTACCTAATTGCTTGCCTTCCTTAGGCCCCCATTTGCTTGGAAGGAAAATTCCAGGAGAATGAAGGAAACTGTTTCCTTCACTGCTGCCTCTCCAGCCTTGGCTGGAAAAGGCGGGAGAGCAAGCAGTGTTGGCAAGAAGGAGGACGAATTGTGCTGGAAGGATCTCCACTTTGGGAGTGACTTGCATGGGCATGCTCTTCTGTAGGTATCCATTGATGCCTACTCCTAAAACTCAAAACATTATGTTTTAAGATGAAAATTGGCAATGGGGAAAGAGATGTGGCCATTTTAAAATGCAAGTGTGCTTCCTTTCCTATATTCGCGGCGAGGCTCCATTTTATGATGGCTTCTTATAGTCCCATCTTTTTTCTCTCTTTCTTAGGGAAGTCAACAAAAGCTGCCAACTTACCACTGGACCAGGGGCTCCTGGGCTACCAGGAAATCCTCGGTGGCCTTTGAGTCCATTGTTACCTCGTTCACCAGCTTCACCTTTATCACCACGTGGACCAGCAGGACCCTTTGAAAACACAGCGAGGATGAGTTTAAAAATGCATTTCAGATGAAAGAAAACTAGCTGAAGCATACAGTGAGATGATATGCTGAAGTGAAGACTTACAGGAGCACCACGAGCACCAGCTGGACCAGCAGGACCAGCAGGACCAGCAGATCCCTGTATGAAAACAAAAACAAATATATATTAGGATTGCAAAGAGATAGATACATTATGATGGAATAAGATGAATAACTGCCACTAGGCTCCCAATATACCACTGCATATAACATACAAATATTACCCTAGGAGTTAGACTTCCAAAAGAATTGATATCCTTCCATTTTTCACAAAAGCCTGCACTCAGAGCAGTTGGACCTTTCTGACTGGAAATTGTTTAAGAAGCTAATTTCCAGTTATGGGACTGAGGAAATCTTGCTCTGCAAACTTTAAGCAGGTGGTTCTCCAGTTATGCTGCCTTGAATCCTGACCAGCATGGCCAATGGGAAGGATGCTGGGAATTGCAGTTCAGCAACATTAGGAGGGTCACATGCTTCCCATCCCTGGACTAGAATGGAAAAGGATTTCAAGAGAATTGAAGTATCCCAAGTATCTAGCTTATTGAAAAACCATTGCAAATCCCTGATTGCAGGGATCAATCAGATCTCCCATCCCAGAGTCAAGTCCCCGATGTTTGCAGTTGTTGTGGAATCTACAGGATGCATATCACCTTCAACCAGGTTCTTTTAAAGAGAATTCCATCTCTAGAATATTAATGTTGAATTTCTTTTCATCCTTTGTAACATAAAAAAGTGCAGCATTGGTTGTAAATGAATAGTAAGTGGCTTATTCTTAACATTTTGCTAATATATTACTGCACAGGTAAGAAAGGTAGGGTTCAGCATAGTTTTCATCCTTACTGCATGTCCTCTTTCACCATTTTTTCCAGGTGCACCAACGTTACCAGGGGGGCCCATATGACCTGGAGATCCAGGTGCCCCAGGAGCACCATTTTCACCACGATCACCCTGAAAAGGAAATAAAGTGAAGCATTAATTTATAACATGACCCATTAAATAAACACACAGATAGACATAAAGACGTATAAGGATCCAGCAGAAGCAACCACAACTAGATGATGATATCACTGATTCTCACCTTTGGTCCTGGAGATCCATCACGACCTGGCAGACCATCTGATCCAGGATTACCCTTTCAAATGCAGAATAATAAGTATTTAAATTTCAGTTTGAAGGGGGGGGGGAGAAGGAATAGGAGGAACTGAGGGGAAAAAAGCAAAACCTTTAAGAAGCTTTAACTCAGAAGTAGGATTTCTTCTCACAATATCACTCTCTTAAACACATCAGTGTTGTAAAGACCTTGGCAATTATGTGGCCTCTACATTTATAAGATGCTGGTTCACATACACACATTCTTCTACTTTAAAGCAGCATTAAGTTATGATTTGTACATATAAAAGGCCAGAACAATTTTTCAAGGGAATCATTTACACACAAGCAGCCTTAATAATGGACCATCCTGACCACTGCATACCCTCACCAGGAAAAGACCTTCCAGCTCTCTCAAACCTTCTGCACATTTCATCCCCAGATCATGTGGGATTCATATCTTATATACTATAATCAAGGATATGGAAATCAAGTGGTGTACGTCCCTTGTGTGAACTAGCCTTCACTTTCTCACTCCAGTAAGTTGATGAGTTTACGTGTCTGGACAGAATAACTGTATGAAGTCCATTTTTTTCATTTTGGAATTTACATAATTTAACTCTTCTATTTGCTTCAGGCATCTATCCCAGAAATACAAATAATTTGAAATATATGATTACATCTCTGCCTGATTCTCCAGGTGCTCCACTGATGCCAGGAGGACCCGCTGGCCCTGGAAGTCCTCGTTCCCCTGGACTACCATTAGTTCCTGGTTTGCCATCTTCACCCTACATTGGAATAAGAAACAAACTGATGATGTGCTGAAATGTTTAGATTTTGCAAAATTCATGCATAGCCTTTCCAAAACAACAGCTAGTATAAATAATAACCATAAATAATATGAGATGCCTATAGATATTCAGTGTTCAAATTGAATTTTTGTTCAATTGATCATGGAGAACTAAAAGTTTTTTTTTTCCCCCTTACAGGTTCAGATAGCTAGACCAAATGTAGCTCTCAAAATTCCATTAGATTCCCCCAAATTATTGAGACCTTTCTACTCAAAATGTCAGTTGACAATTTTAAGAAATGTTTAGGTCTTTACCTAAATATATATAATCATATGCATTGTTACTGCCTCTTTTTTTATAACCAGGGCACCATGTTATTGCATTTGCCCTGGTCTTGTGATAATGGGGGAAAAGGTATCATGAACTTAAGAGAAAAAACAACTGTGGCAGGTGGTGTAGCAAAAACCCAATTGCTAACATCAGTCAACCATGTCTGAAGTTACCAAAGGTTAATTAAACATGGAAGTTGCTGGGGACAGAGAGGGTTCTGTGGCGCTTTAACAAGTAGCGGAACATTAATTAATATTAAGTAACATGAATTTAGTATGAATTAATTAATGCACATTAATGTAGGAGATGGTACCATGGACCTATGGGAGAAAATTCTGGTTTAGGTTAGAAAGATGAAGGTCATTTTTTAAAAGCATTGTCAGGAGGCATTTTTTCCAAGGGAAACAGTGCTTTTTTCTCCTTTTTTCCCCCTGATATAATGATGGCAAAAAATTCAAAAATGCTGCGATGGTTAGCATCTCAGAAAAACAGTTAAAACAATATTCTATTTATTTTTATTGTACGCCTCCCAGAGTCACCTTTGGTCATATAAATTTGATTAATAAATAAATTAATTAATAAAAATAAATATTCCCCCCGATTCTCTCCCCCTCTCACATGTACAAACTAGTGCAAGCCCCAAACCCAAGTGTCTGCTTTGGCTCAATCCTTCTTCAGTGAAATCCTTGGGATGATGACTCACCTTGACACCAGACTGACCAGCGGGGCCTGCTGGTCCCCTCATTCCTGGCAATCCTACAATACCACGCTGCCCGGGTGGGCCCAAAATTCCTGCAGGACCTGGTGCCCCCTAGGGGAGATAAATCAAGACCATAACTAACAACAGAGTTAGTGGTATAAGCACAAGGGTATGCCTGAATTTAGCTGGAATTCTACACCTTATAAGATATATCGATACATAGATATCCATATACATATCTATAACTATTGTTGTTACTGTTTTTTTAATTCTTTTTTTATTATACTAAAAGACAAATCTAAAGAAGAAGAAGAAAAAAGAAAAAAGAAAGGAGAGAAAGAGAGAAAAAGAAAAAAGTGCAAGAAACAGAAAAGGATGGAAAAAGAAACAGAAATCAAGAAAAATATAAGTGACTTCCAATCTTCTTTTCAACAGATATTTGCAGTCTTATTTTCCCTCTTCCCTCTTAGATGTTATACAAACCCCTTCGACCCCTTATTTAATCCACATATTTTTCAATCGTTTTACCATGGTTATTATTGTTAATTGGATTTATATCTTGCCAACTCCATTTAGAGTTCCAAACAGTTCATTATATATATGAATAGCCTTGACAACCCTTATGATGCAGATTACATATGGTTGGGATTCTGACAATGCACTCAAGATAATTTGAGCATATAGGATTCCGTCCTTTCTTTTATGGGCTTATTTCAGGGAGCAGCATTCTTACGACTGGGATCCAAATAAAGTTAGGAATATTAGAGACAAATAAAGATAGATAGTCCTGTCATTGTAATAGACCTGTGAAGCAGCTCTGTGCAACATCAAGGCTTGGCTTCAGTCTGGACTGCTGCAGCAATCTAATTCAAGGTGAGCCTCCATCCAGAACATTAAGACACTTAGCAGCACTGACACGTGCCCACCTGATTCTGCTGGCCACTTCAACCTGGTGGAGCAGGGATATGTGCAGAAGTCCTCTTCAGCAATTGGACTGAAGTGGAAGGACTGCTTTCATCTGGCGCTTGAAAAGGGGAGTTTGATTTGGCATTTTACTTCCAAGGGATGTTTCAGTCAGAGGTTTGTGAAAATGAATAACCCCTTCAAAGTTCTACAGAACCGTGGAAAATATATCAAGTAAATGTGATATTTATAACAATTTCCTGTACATACGATGTAATGTTTGGGTGGGTTTTTAATTGCTGGAATTATTTATAATGGTTGATCATCATTGAGCACCTTTATCTAATGTAATATAGTTGAGTGTGATACTGTTCAGGATTTGCAGAGGTGAAGTATTTAAAAAGATACTGGTATCATTGCTGAATATTGATTCATTTTTTAAAATGTAACTTTCAAAAAATGTACTTACTGATTCTCCTCTTGGCCCTGATGAGCCTTTTTCTCCTGGTGGGCCTGGCTCACCTTTTGCACCTGGAGCACCTGGGGAACCAGCAGGGCCAGTAGAACCAGCTGGGCCAGGAGGTCCATCCTTGCCAGCTGGGCCAGCATGGCCAGGTTGTCCTGGCCCTCCCTAGAATTTCACATTTGAGAGAGAAGAATATAATACAGTTCCTGATTTAACACTACCAGATATCAGAACAATGGCGAATGTATGATATAGGTATAAAGAACAGCAACTAAACTTCTTAGGTACTTCCCATCCACTACCAATAAAACATGAATATATCCATGAGTATATGCTTTTAAAAGTAGCAAAGAAATTAAAGATTAACGGTCAAAAGAGATATCTGATAGACATAGGCCAAATGCTAAATTGATTTTCTTCCCCAGGTTGCATGCATGCTACACATTTTCTGAAAAGTCATCCTAAGCAAGGGAGGAATGTTGTAGTTGCATCCCTGATGGCTATTGTTGCCTGACCTGGGGCCAATAGTCCTCTATCCCAAGACCTTAGCTTGGGTAGGGTAGGAGTAGCCAGCTCTGCTGCTGCTGCCGCCACCACTAATTGAAAACACGGAAAGACCAGCTTCCTTGCTCAAAGGATAGTTCATGCCTGAATTGCATCTCCATGCAACCTTATGCAATTCCATGCCTGCATTGCAACTCCTCCATTGATCCTGGTCTCGGACTAGCTGAATCCTTCCAACTCCAAAGTGATTCTCTAAGCTTTCCATTTCTACAAACCATACTGAAGTCAAGACGGAGTATTCTAGTGAGGTTTCGTAGACTATGAATGTTTTAAGGATTGCTGGCTTTTTTAAAAAAGAAAAGAAGAAAAGATATATTCTGGGAAAGGGGTATTCCTTAGAAGATTTTAAGTTAGCAATCATGGACATGAAGTAGTCTGGGGTAAGTTAATTATTGTCTGCCAGAGATATGCTTAATAGGTGCTTCAGTTTATAAATGGAAGACCTGTGACTCAGGCATAGCATCTGTGACTGAAGGTGCAAATGGAATTGTTGTACAGATTGGTTTCTCTGCTTATTTCAGAGGAAGAGACAGCTGGGATACTGGAGCAGAGCAAAAGAATATGAAAGCAGAGCAGCTTTATACGAGTTAAAAGTGATGGCAATTCTTACATTGTTACCAGGAGGACCAGGTAAGCCTCGGCTCCCAGGAAAGCCAGCTGCACCCTGAAACAAATGAGTATAGTTAACATTAACAAGTCATCAACCACTGCTCAACAGAAAGTGGGAAAACTAAATTCAAGAAACTGGTATACCCTTGATCACCTACAGTAAATAGACCACGTTGAGTCAGTCTTGACTCTTGGCGATTGCCTGGACAAGTCAGTGCAGTTTTCTTGGCAAGATTTTGCCCCTGCCTGCTTCCTAGGGCTGAGAGAGAGGGACTGGCCCAAGGTTACCTAGTTGGCTTTGTGCCCAAGGTGGGACTAGAACTTATGGTGTCTAGCCTGGTGCCTTAACCAGTACACCAAACTGGCTCTCTAAGTAGACCACTTGCATTTGACAATCTGATTAAAAGGCAATTACATCTTTTGTATGGCAGCTTGGTCTAATGTGACTCTAAATAATGGACTTCAAGAAATGCTGGTGGGCTACAAGTAGCTCTCAGACTGCACTTTTTCTAGCCCTAGCCTAGAGTACCTCTGTCCATCACGTAAGTATTTGGGAAAAGACAAGAATGCATGGACGTGCACAAGGCTCAAATGTTAATACATTGCAATGGAAAGATGTGATTGTAGTAGATCAGATATAAGCCCATCAATCACTGCTGGATGTCTGAGAACCATTTTGGGAACCAAAATGTCAGGTGAACTGGAGCCTACCATATTAAAGGAACTTTCTTACTTTATTTAAGTTTCTTCTTAGAGGAATTAGTGTGTTGTTTTTAGATCATGGCATCATATAGAGGCCATAAGAGTTTGGATGCAGAAATCAGTCTAACTGTTTACTAACCACTGGACTAATTTAAAAGACAGTACTTACTGGAGGACCTGCACCACCACGTTCTCCTTTTGGTCCTTGTGGACCACCAGGACCCTGGATAAGATATGAGAATTAGCATCATAATACTAAAGAAAAGAATAGATCAGTCAACATATGAATTTCCATGGAATCAATATATCAGACAGTTTCTTTTACAAAAGGTACAGGAAAAATCAAGTACCAAAAACAGTAGGGAATATATAGATTACTACATACTTACTGGTGCACCAGGGCCTCCTGATGGACCTGCAGCTCCAGGGGGTCCAGTCTCACCTCGTTCACCAGGGAGGCCTTTCTCTCCTTTTCCACCAGGTTCTCCATTTTGTCCCTATATAAAGATAAGTTATCATAGATATTAAAGCTTAATCGTTAATGAGTTAAACCTTAATAGTCTCTCAAGGAAAAGGGTGGGAATTGTGTTTAGAGAAGTCTGGGATCCAAGCCATATCAAGTTCCAAGATGTTTTGCTGCTTAAGGAGAAGATGCTAAACAAGAGAGACCAGAGGGAACTAATTCTTATTCAAGAGTGAAAACTGAAGGCAGCTGGGGTAGTTGTGTACATCTGAAAGCAACAGGTTAGTGCAGAGAGCTTAGGCTAGGTAATCACCAGCACACTTTCCCACCTCCAGCTTTCCCGCCCGTAGCATCTGTTGCCTTAGGTAACCATTTTGTTCAGTTTCACTGTAAGGGAATCTCTCTAAGTTCAATGCTTAGTTTAAATTTCAGAGTCAATCAGATGTGGTTGTCACAGGTGCACTGTGTCAGTGCCCAGCCTGAATCTCTCATGAAGGGCTCATTTGATTTCACTTGAAGATTTTGCATTTTTGTGGGCCTGTTCCCCTCTCCTCAGTCCCTTTCCTCAAAGCATGGACCACTTTGTTGAAAGAAGTTGCAGAGAAACTCAGCACAAGTCAGAGAGGATTGCCTAAATAAAGAAATGATTGCATTATCATGACAGGAATTATTTCCACTTAGAGGTCACCATGGCTTTAGCACTGTGATATCGTTACATGGTAAACAGCATCATGCAGTTATTCTTGGAGAAGCTGAAGTAGGGCAAATCTTCCTGAAATACTAATAGATAAGCAGGCTTGGAACAAAAGATAACATCTTATCTGCCGCCTGATAGAGATAATCTTATTCCAGGCAATCATTTCCTCATATAAGGCATTCCACTTTGCTTTCTCCTGTTCTGATTTCCATTGCAACTTAACATGCTGAGTCTCATCTGGTTGATATTTGCTATGGGTTGCTCTGCTATTTATTTACTTTCCTTTCCTTCAACTCATCTCATTACTGTACAACAAATCTTCCCCAGCCTTTACTCTAAAATGTCTTCATACTTACAGGAGCTCCAGGGAAGCCAGCAGGACCAGCAGGCCCTTGTTCACCACGGTCACCCTGCAGATGACATAGGAGAAGCATAAATAAGCCTACATGGAAGTTGGATTCTAGCACTGCTAACACCATTCTTTGCCTCACTCAGCTATTTTCCTTTGCTTAGGATGACATGTATTTCTAACACACTTCTTTCTGTTCTTTCCACCAAAAGGGGGAAGGTTGTTCAAAGCTCTTTGCTGTTGTGTGAATTTTCCAGACAGAGCTGAAGATTCCCACACTGAATACAATGGCTTTGTGAAGGGTTGCTAATCCCCTCCAGACCGCTTCACAGAGCCGTCTCAACCAGGTGGTTGGAACCTCCATTCTGGTGCTGAGATGCAGCGCACCAGTGGGCCCTTCTAGCTTCAAGGGGGATCCTGTGAGCCTCTACTAATCCAATGAAAGCTGCATTGGAGTTTTCTAATTCTTGTGGTAGCAAAATTAGCAACTAAGAGCAGAAACTGGGTCAATATCTCTCTGTAGACAATCAGCCTTAGTATATATACCAGATGGTTGCTATCTATCCCTGGTCCTAATTCTCCTGCTGATGACCTCCTTTTCTACTTCCACTATTATTTTATTTATTTGTTTGTTTATTTACTCTTTTATGATTTTAGTGGAAAGAAGCCATAGATGTCCCCCTCCTCTGACAGTGCAACATCTCTTGAGGAGGTCAAATAATTTTAGGAGAGTAAGAGCTCGAAATTCTTGTTTTCTAATTAATATTAGTTACAAAGAACTTTCTTGCTCTTAATTGCTGATACTTTTTTTGAGATATGAATGGATATTCTTAATTGTAGACATTTACTGTAAATTATCTATAATTTAATATGAAATGGATTAATGTTTTAGATTGAAATATAATTTCTAGACCTGTTGAAAAGAAGAATATTCTAGCATATTACTTTTATGAAGATTTCCTTTATCAAAGTTCTGGACCATTAGCAAGTAATCTAACTTTCCAGAATACTGCAGGCCAGTTAAGATTAATAGATTCAATTTTTAAAAAAATATATATTTTGGAAATGTTTAGGAAAAGGGCAAAAAACCCTAAAAATTCAATTAAATTGTGTATATGAAAGAGTTTCTTACAGGACCACCGCGGGGACCTGTCGGGCCATGGGGTCCAGCAGGTCCAGGTTCTCCCTAGAAGAGAAAGAAAGAGAGAAAGAAAGAAAGAAAGCTTTTATTTCAGAATTTTTTTTCTTCAAAATGAATTTAATTAACATTAATGTATCAGTGAAATGTATACCTTATCACCAGGTTGGCCAGCTGGACCAGGAGGCCCAATGGATCCTACAGGCCCCTACAATGTTAAAAGTAAAAATCAGTTGGAAGCATGGACACACCAATCAGCAAATATTGAAATGCAGAAGTATTCTGAATAGTCTCCCTTGTATCGATAAATTTCTGCTTATTTTGCCTTTCTAATCCAATATGTCTCCTGTTATGCTGAATTTGTATAGGCAGAGAGGAAATTTGGAAGAATTTTAAAATGAGCTAGATAAATAGTCTGATAATGTTTAACAATATGTCATTTACTTGGAATTGGCAAATGGTCGACTTATTGTATCAGATTCTTTAACATATGTCAATCAATTTGTATTGCATAAATTCAGTGAAATGAGAAGTACAAAATCTGTTTTGGTTAACAAATATTTCTACATTTCTGTATGTTTCAGGGATTCTAATTATAGCTCTTTGAAAGATGAGGGAAAGTTACCCTTTTAAAGACCCTTAGAATTACTTGTATACGATTGATTGATTGATTGATTGATTGATTGATTATGTGCTGTCAGTTTGGTGCCAACTCTTAGCAACCACACAGACAGATTGTCTCCATGATGAACTGTCCCTAACCTGGTCCTTCAGGTCTTCCAATGGTACATCTATCACCACTGTAACTGAGTCCATCCACCTTCTCTATGCTTGTCTATAGGCTTATTCTACTTCTTTTCATTCTCTTAAGAGATTGTTCACTGTACTCTGTTCTCAGTTCTCATCAGGAAACTACTCTCAACCCAGTAACAGTCCTGGGGAATTCAGAAACCCATTCCCCTCTCCTAAGAATCATGGTAGATCTGAGGTCATGCTTCATATGGTACAGTGATCAAAAGCATGATGCAACTGGATTATATTTTATTTTATTCCTTTAGGAAAGAAGTAAGGAGGAGATGTGAACATTTGGGAGTTATTGCAGGATTTTTAAATTTTATTTTTAATAAAACTAAAACTTGAACCAGCACTTTGCACTCCTTTAACAAAGAACAAAAGGGAATGGGTGATAACTTTTTTTTTCAGAATTTTTAGATGAATATACAGTATAAATATGTTTAAGAGAACTGGGAGTACACACATTCAGAAATGTAGAATCTGAAACTGCCATTAAAAATATTCATCCAATAATATACATTGCAGAAAATATTTTAAAAATGTACATTTAAAATGCATTTTACTGTAGAAAAATGCTGATTGAAATGTTTACAAGATTGCACACATTAAGAGAAATGATCCTGAAAACGTTTATAAAATAGGTGTGCCTTTTTGGAGGGCTACATTCAGCAAGGGTTGAAGCAGAAACAGAACTTTCAGAATCAACCATCACTAGGGATAAGGATTTTGTTGTGCCGCTCTCTTAATCTTGGGTAGATAAGAAAGGAATTGCTAGAAATAATCTAGAAACAGATTCAACTGATCAATCAATTACATTTCATATACTACTCCTCAGCAGTAGAAGCTCTTGGCATGCCTAAAAGCATCCAGGTTAATTATATATTAAGAGCAAGGCTTTAAAGATGCTGTAGGCACTGCCAGAACCAATTTGGTTCTGTTGCAAATTAGATGAAGCAAACAAATTATCCAGGACATGGCAGATTTTCGACTTACTCGTAATCCATCTTTACCAGGTGCTCCATCTCCTCCTCTGCTTCCAGGTTCTCCCTGTCCAAAGGAAAGAAAAAGGCAAACATGTTGCAAATAAGCTAACCAACAGCAACCTGTTGCAGCATGCACTGGTGTTCTTAAGCTTTCCCCAAACTAAAAAGCAATGTTTCAAGTCTTTATTCAAAATTATATAATAAAGATTATTAGATAAACACAATCAGCAGGAAGACATGAATCAGGACATCGAGTCAGTGGACAAAGAGTAAAGCAGAAACAACTTCTACTTCTGAAGAAAATGAACCTAATTATGGTGATTACTAGCCCTATTCAAAGCATTCTTCTGAAGATACAGTAACTTCAGTGGGAGTTATCTCCATGTTAATATACAGAGGATGGGCTTTATGCTACCTGGACATCTAGTTCAGCACTTACATATATTGCCCTGCATCAGGTTTTTATGAATAAATTATGCAATCTCAAAAAAAAAAAAAGTTTAGATCAACTTATTATCAAGCCAACCATAAGTCCTAATTAAGCTGCTCTTCATGATTTTTGGATGGTGTTATCTGGTTATTAAGGGGAATTTAAAACAACATACCTTTTCTCCCTTGGGTCCAGGATTTCCAGAACCCCCTCTCTCTCCTGGCATTCCTTGCAACCCTGGGGGTCCCATACCACCAGGAGGACCAGGTGCACCAGCAGGGCCCTAAAATAGTATTTTCCAGAACAGCTATTAGAACACCTGGAGAAAAGCATCTGGAGCATAATTTAGGATATACACAAAGCATAATGATTTCAACATACTTTTCCACCTTCAGGTCCAGCAGGACCAGTGCCGCCTCTAGCTCCTGGGGGACCTGCAGGTCCTGCTGGGCCTCGTTCACCTGGGATGCCATTTTCACCCTAATATAAATAAAACCATTTAGTTTTATTTGACTTCTTTGTTTTTACATTTTGTTGTGCCCAAATTAGTACCAAATTTACCTTTGTTCCTGGAAGACCTGGAAGTCCATTTTCACCTCTTGGGCCCTGTTGTGAATCAAAGGCAATTTGATTATTATTTATATGCTTTCATGGGTGACATCTTCATTAATGCTCAAGATGCAGCCAAACATTTCCACCTGAGGTGTCTATCCAGTCAATGACCCAACTGATTACATTGATCTTCCTCCACACATCATAAGTTCCACTGACTTTAGCTAAAATAATTGGCCACTTCTGAAGAGGAAAAAGAAAGGAGAAAACAGAGAGAGAGAGAGAGAGAGAGAGAGAGAAAGAAAGAGAGAGATGGAGAGAGCAAAAAGAGAAAACCTGACTGAGGATATGGCAAGAAAATATCCTTGTTTGGATGACAATATAGAGGCAGGCAAAAGCTTTGCATGTACATAGTACCCCAATAGGCATTTTTGATTCCTGCACAAAGATATGTAAGACACAACTATAAAAGTAGCTGAAATTTCATCTAAATGATAGGTACGGACTTTCTTAAAAGCTCAGTTTTGGATTAAAGTTATAGAGATTTGTTTTTCTGGAAAAAGAAGTATGTTTCAGAATATGGTCATGATTCTGGAATCATAATTTATACTGTTCTTCACACTTAAGTAGCGTTACATATCCTTTTTGCCTATTTCCAGAAGAGAAGAAAGGACAACTTACTGCATCTCCAGGTTTTCCACTCTCTCCAGGAGCTCCTGAAGGACCAGGTAGACCCTAGGGGAAATGAAACTATTGTTTAATACATGTTCCTCTCTGCTTTAAATATTGCATTTTAAAAAAAAATCAGACTTGTGAATAATTTATTATACCTGGTGAATTTTGTATAAAGATTTGTAATAATGTAGGGTCAAACAATTAACCCACTGTTTTTTTCATTGTCTGTGGTGATTGTAGCATTCAATGTCACAACATTATTGTGAACTGTCATACA